ACGGGGTTCTATCGTCCTGGTGCAGGACCGTCCCTCTAACCGCGCCCATAGGAACGGTGGAGCACAGCGCTGAGAGGTGTCTGAGTGGAGGTTTTCTATTAACTTCCACGTGCGTTCGCGACGAGGGGCCCGGCATGTCGGGGGTGTTATCCCCGCGGACAGCACGGGGGTGGTGGCACGAGGACGGGATGTGGAGGAGATGGGAGCCGTGCCGACGGATTCACGGATACTGCATGGATGTGGTGGTGGTTGGGGGGGGTACACGGGTGTTTGGGTCGGCGGGCGGGCGGGCGTGTGCGTGCGTGCGTCCGGGCGTGCGGGTGGACGGGGTGAGACCAGGCGCGGTGGAGTGAGGTGGTGGGAGGGCGGTGGGTGGGTGGTGGGTAGGGTGGTGGTGGGTAGGGGGGGGGAGAGCGGCAAGCTCGAGGCAAAGTGCTCCAAAAGCGGAAAGCGGCCGATAAAGGAAAGCAGCAATTAAAGCAGTTGGGAGGCCCTCCTTTCTTTTTGTTGGCGAAACGAAAACAAAAGAAGGGGAGGCAGGTGAATAAATAGTGTGGGGGGGGGGGGCAAAATGCGAACGAAAAAGCGAATCGAGGCTATGCCACGACCAGCCCCCCACCTCCCCCCACCCCCCGGGCAACCGGAGGCCATAGGCTATCTAACCGCCGATAGAGGTAGTTACGGTTTAGGCCAGTCTACCAAGGTCGGCTAGTTACGACTTGAACCGGCTTACTCTCTAGGATACGGCGTAAACAATCAATCGGCCCACTGGACTAGCTCGGTCTTACACCGCTGGCATGTCGAGAGCTAACTCTACCTTGACCCGTTTCCCACCTAGGATGGTTAGGCCTTAAATAAGTTTTATCGTCTTAACCGGCTGTACGCTAAGACCAGCTGGACTACCTAGGCCTTAACTAAGTTTTAACAGTTTACCCGCCAAATCTACCGTGACCTCAAAGTGCTTTTTCCACGGAAGAGACTCTTAAGCCAGGCCTCAGGCCCACTGACTTTAACCATCAGGCAGCAGCTGCCACCGCTGCAAGTTAAAAATCGTTCCCCCGCAAAGCTCGCAGAGTTGTAAGCGGCGTGAGAATGGCGCTGGCCACAAACTCCCTCCTTGCTTTACCGCCTAGGCCTAACTAGGGCCTCTGCCCACTTTAACTACTGCTCACAGTGCCAAGTTTCGTGCAAGTGGGGGACGGGGGGGGGTGGTTGGTGAGTATTTGGAAAGGGGTTGGGGTGGGGGCGCGGGGGGGTGGGGAGTGGGTTGGGGGGCGCGGGGTGGGAGGGTAGTGGGGGAGTGGGTGGGTGGAGCACCACCTCCCACGAGTGGAGCACCAGCAACCTGCCGCGAGCGATCTAAAGAGGATCGGGAACACGGGCGGTGGCAGCGGAGCACGGCTTTTGCCTGCTACGGCACAGGCGGTACAGGCGGCACGGACGGGAGGTGTCTGGAGTGGAGCCACCCTGCATTCCGCTCCCATCCAGCGCCTCGAATCTCTCTCTCGAACTCTCTCGATCTCGCTCGCTCGCTCACTCGCTCGCCCGATCGCTCACTTCACGGCCGCTGACTCCGTCGCTCGTTCGCTGGCAGCTGTCGCGTCCGCGAAAACTTTTTGTTTCCGCACTACGCGATTTCGCGGCAAAGCCGCCCCGGGTTTCCGCTCCGTGCCATCGTCGGTTCACATCGCGAGTCCAGGAGCAACCCGAAAGCCAACAGCCTCCTCCTCTCTGATGTGTCCAACAGATGTCTTGGGATGGCCACAATAATCCCGGACGGTGGGCTCAGAAAGTCTATTGAGGTGTGTCGCCCCCCTCCTACCCACTCACCCCCTGCCTCCCCAGCCCCCCAACCGGTTATCGAATGTTCCAGCCCCATGCTCAACTCACCGTACGAGGAAAAGAGGGGATGGGGAAGGAGGCGGTGGCACTATCTGGTTCGTGGGCATGGTCGGTGAGGCGAGTGCGGGGAGAGCATCCCATGGGCAGTGTGCTTGGGTGAGGAGTTTCAAGCAAAGGGGAGGCCACTTGGCCACTACATTGTGGGTAGTGGGGGGAGTGGGAGGGAGCACCCGTGTAAATGTGGAGGGACGATGTGGAGACTCTGGGAGGTGCGAGAGCGTTCGCTCGAAATTGCTCGGCCCGACCGCCGCTTGACGAGGTCTGGACCACCTCTGAATATTGTCTGGTGGTCAGGGGGAAATGTGTCACTGTAGCGGAGGATGGTGGGAGAAGGAGACTTTAAAATGCATCGTCTCGACTGAGTGGCACTGTTGCTGCTGCTGCTGCTGCAGTTGTTGTTGTTACATAGCTTGTCAACAAAAACCTGGATGCTTTGTGGAGGGATCTCGCGGGATCTCGCTGTCTCGCCCAACTGGAGGACGGTGCTGGGAAGACCAGGATAGGTGGGAATCCTAACGAGGCTGGCAAAATGCATGGGCATGTGGTGGGCAGTGGGCAGTGGGCGAACCGCATAGCTGTGAAGCCGTACGGTTTACCTACCAGTTATTCTTGTGCAGGGAAAATTGAGTTTTCAGGCCCATACGGCCGTTTCAATACGGGCAAATAAAGAATTCGTTGTAAAATCCTTTATATTAAGTTCGCTTGCTTGCTTGCGTGCTTGCTTGCTTGCTTACGACCGTGCAAACCTTTTGGTCGTTTTTTAACCCACTTCCCGTGATCCAATCGAGCTGACATTTTGCACACAGACTCGTTGTGCGAGACAATTAATGTTCGTGAAAAAAAATTTCCAAAATTTTTCACTGTTTAGGGAAAACAAATTAAATATTTAATTACCAATTGTTTAATACTGCAGAAATCATCTGACCCATAGGTGGCAGCCATCTCAAGCCAGAGGACGAGAGGATTCTAGCCGCCACGCATATAAAGGATTTATAGTGAAAAACTTTGTTTTTACGGGTTATACTTATTTGTCTATTTGTTTGTGCTTCTCCTCTTCGTGATGGGACTTTGTAGGATGAACGTTGAGATTAATAAGGGGCACGGGGGTGACCAATAAGGTCTGAATTCGTCTATAAAACTGGTCAACAACAAGTATAACCCATAAAAACAAAGTTTTTCACTATAAATCCTTTATATGCGTGGCGGCTAGAGTCCTCTCGTCCTCTGGCTTGAGATGGCTGCCACCTATGGGTCAGATGATTGGATTGCACCATTAAGCAATTGGTAATTAAATATAATATTTTTGTCCTAAAAAGTGTAAAATTTTGGAAAAAAATTTAACAAACATTAATTGTCACGCACAACGAGTCTGTGTGGAAAATGTTAGCTCGATTGGATCACGGGAAGTGGGTTAAAAAACGACCGAAAGATTTGCATGGTCCAAAGTAAGCAAGCAAGTGAACTTAATATAAAGGATTTAAAAACAACTTTTTTTTTCGGGCCTGGACTTTTGCAGCTGTTTTAGACTAATTTCAGGGTGCTGATTCCAAATCTGATCTCAGATTTGCTCTATCACATCATTTTTATGCTATCGGCATATCCCATTTTCATTGATTTTACCCGAAATTAACTCTGTCACTTATGATTGCAAGATGTTGCGAGTCAGTGACTGCTTTAGTGTTCAAATACGGTGCTGTGTTTTTAGGATAGTGTGTTTATAATATCATTTTACGTAGATATCCACATTTATTTAATATTTTTCTTCTGCAGTTTTGATTGAAAATGCAATATTTGATATCTCAAAAACCTGATGTGATAGCCAAAAACTGATGCCAGATTTGGAATCAGCACCCCAAATTTACCTTAAAACCGTTGGAATACCTTATGCCAGAAAAAAGTGTGCTGACCAGTGTAATAATGTAGGGCACGGTTGACAGCTATGGAACCATCTTCTTGGTTCTTTCGGTAAAGTCACGTAGAAGGGAAATAATAATATGCTGAATTCCTCTTGATATGCAAATTATTTTGTCAAGGCGCTCCTCTTTCCCCTCCAACCCAGCAGCTTAAATATACGCTCCAAGCTTGGTGGTGTTTCATTCTTCACCTGAGGACGACTGCTTGCGTTGTGGCCAAAACGTCGTGAGAATTATTTTTCATGTTTTATTTTTATTATTTTATTATTTCCCTTCTGCGTGACTTTACCAAAAGAACCAAGAAGATGAATCCCTGCAGTCACGAAAGCTTTAAATCGAAATTTAAGGGGTTGACAGCTATGGAACCGTCGGGAATGTTCCAGGAGGCCACTCTCTCCACGCGGTACGAGAGGGCTTGGCCACAGAAGCGGACGGCCGAATGAGGGGAGTGGCGGCTTCCGGTTCACCGTGCTGCCCCCTAGCATTTCGAAAAGTGTATTGGTTTGGCCATGTATGTGTTGTTGTAGTACAGAGTTAGACTGATGGCCTTAATCTAAGTTGTCTTGTGGTTGTTGTTGTTGTTTGACTTGCATCCCACTGGGATTTTTGCACACAGCGTTGGTGTACGGTGATTTTTCCTTCCAATATTTTGCTGTCTTTTCTTGGATTTTCTATTTGCACTCAGTCACATATTCACTTTAAGATGTTTTTGTTTTTTGTTTGCTGCGGTTGCACCCGATTCAAGAGCCGAATGGCTCACAGGGCTATGCCTAATACATGAACTTGAACTTGAAGGCATTTGCTACCTTCGGGGAAAACGGTGACCGCTACGGGCCCACGTGATGGCAAGGGTAGATGGGCTGGGGGGGCGGTGTGTGTGGGGGGGGGGAGTCTTTGCTGGCTGTGCACAGGTGATTATTGACTATCCGAGCACCCAGGCAACCACAGGCCTGAGGCCTTCATTCTATACGCCAAAGATCTCGTTCAATCGCTCGCTCACTCGCCGTCCGCTCTCCTCGCTCGACCACCAACGCGCCCGCACTCACCCCCCTCCATCGCCCCCCACCCCACCGCACCCTTCGTCTTACCCAAGCAATCAAACAATCAAATTCATTTCCACCCTCCCTACAACCCCCAAATTGTGCCGAGCGCACAGCACAGCACCGCACCGCCGCCAGAACTCACCATCCTCCGTGGGCACGTAGACGTTCAGGAAGAGGCAGTCCTCGCTCTGCTCCAGCAGGTGGCTCGCCACCACCTCGGCGTTGGAGGTGAACCACACGGGCAGCATGACCTCGAGCAGCACCCCCTGGACGTTCTGCGGGCAGACGGGCGCGAAGCGCGTCGCGTTGCGCGTCTGCTGCCACGAGGCCGGGGGCTCGGGCGGCTGGAAGCGGCGCTCTCCGACGGGTGCCGCCGCGTACGGCACGCCCAGGTACTGGTTCACGGGCCCCAGGATCTCGTTGACAAGGTTGACGCGCGTGCCACGCAGCTTGCCGTAGCTCGTCTGGATGATGGGCGCCTCCTGGCCGGGCGAGGCAGCCTGCGCCGAGCCTCCACCGCCCTGGATCCCGCTCGTCGCCAGATCCAGCAGCAGCAGCGTCAGCAGCAGCGGCCGAGCCGGTCTCGCGTGAGCCGTAATCCACAGCATCGTGAACGGGGATTCGTCCGGACGGTTCCCCTTAGTTGAAGCTCGTGTCGTTGGTTTTTGCTGTCCGCGCGCTCGCCAAGTCGCTCGCTCGCTCACTCGCTCGCTCGTTCGGTCGCTCGTTCCAGCTAGGGCT